ACTAGGACTAATAACACCTATCTCCCAGGGTTGCTGAGAACATTCATTCATGTTCACAGCAAGTGTTCATGAATGAATGCCAACTTCCCACTCTTAGGACCATACATGTATGTACAAATACTGAAGAATTTCAGTTATAAATGAATTGAGAACAATTGCCATCTTCCACATATATGTGAAGCTTTTCTGTGTACAATGAGACTAGAAATGTAGTCATGACTCTGGGCCTGTGTGTGGCATTTATTGTTGATTCTGACCTGGAAAGAAAGAGCGGGCAAAAATCCCAAACATGAAGTAAGGCAGGCCTGAGACTGAGCAAGACACAATGCCATTGCCCTAGTTATTTTTGCAATCTTAGCAATTGATGCTGACACTATGTGGTTGGGTTTTTCTCTGGTGACTTTGATACTGGGTTTCTTAGTCACCTTAGATAGCTAGAGTCCAAAAGAGATAATGAGTGTAATTTGTGATCATTTTATAGCATAGCTAAACATTCCTTGTTCCCCTTATTACCTCTGGCCTGAGATAATAGAGGACTCTGTTTTAATACAGTAGTTTCTGTTGTGGCTGTGCTCACAGGAGCCTACAACAGATGATGACATATCAAGCAGCCTACAGCCCATAAATTTATGAGTCACTGGCCAAAGACAGACTGAGAGTCAGAGTAATGGCCCTCAGTATGGACCAAACTTAACTGGTTCCAGGGGTGGAGGACACAGGATCTGCAGTAACTGAAGAATCTTACACTAAAGTTCCCCTGGTAAAAGTAAGCAAGGACACATGACCAAGTACTTCCTTATAAACACCATATGATGCAGCTTCTCTTATAAAGAACAGGAAACCTGGTCCCTGACATTTAACTCTGAATTCAGTAAAAATTCTTTTCCATTGTAGGAAAAGAAATAAATAATCTGTCAATATAAGACAATATATGAATGATTCTATCATCTATCTATCTATTTATCATTTACCTAACCATCTAATTTCTATATTTCTATAGAACCTCATGTAGCCCGAGTTAATGTCCAGCTTCCTAGGTAGTGAAGGATCACCTTGAAGCATCAGAAGGATCACCCTGTCTCTATCACTTAATTAGAAATATGTGCTATCACACCCATCTTGTTCAATGTTGGGGCTAAAACAAAATTTTGCATGCTAGAGCAGTGTTGCACCAACTTTGCTATTTCCTTACTCAAGAAACAGTCTCTTAATGAAAAATAATATTACAGAAAAACATCTTGGAATAAATCTTCAAGAGGAAATAAGTCATCAATTAAAATACTCTTAATTTTGTTTGTTTTTCACATAAAAGGCATATATGCTAAAGCATTTAGGTAGAATTCATGTTTTGATATTCAATGACTAGGGTGGGATTCATCTGTGGTCTAGGATAACTTCTTTTCCTCAACTTCAGTATTTGGAAGAACAGAATTTGTGTTTATCTTTGATCACTTGACATGAGATTCACCTTCATATTGATTTAGTAAATGTTTTCAGAATTGCATTGAATAATTGATAAAACTCTCAGGCCAAGATCTCTGTGATAAAAACCACAGAGGCACATTGTCTGTACATACACCTCAGTGTCCACACTCAGGTGGTCCTCAGTGGCCACACTCTCTCAAAGACAGCTTTGCTTCACACTTAAGGAGAAGAGCATGTCTCAAATGTTGTCATAGGGGATAACAGTTCTCAAACTTTCTACTGTAGAAGCAAGTTAGCTTCCTGAAGTCTGTAACTTCATTAATTTCAGAAAACTAGCCTCCCCTGGAGACGGTCGTGAGGGAAGACATTTCTCTTGCTCCTTGTCCTCGTCATCTCCCTGGCTGTTGGGTTAGCACTCTGACACGCAGCTGTGATAATGGTGCAGATGCTGCTGCCAGAGCACTTCAGCGGGGGCTGCACAGAATGTGAGCAACAGCATGCATGACTCAGCAACATCTGTAGCTTTGCCTCATTGAAGGGCAGGAAACTGAAAGCCGACTCATCCAGAGAGATGGCCATGACAAAAGTAAGCAATGGAGCCAGAGAGCTTCTCAATGTACTCCCTTGAGAACATCTCAGAGTTCAACCAATGGAAGATTCAAATTCGTTTCTTTTCAGTTCTGTAGCAATGAGACAGTTCTGGTTTGGGGCACATCAGAGATTCAGTAGTCCAGGAAAATGCAGAGCCCTCAGAAAATGTGTCTGTAACAGACATGAATACAATAACTTAAACCCCAGTACCAAAGTAGGTGAGGAAATGGAACTGTGATCTGTACATGTGGCATATACAATCTGATGTGTTTATAAAAAGATAAAGAGATATGGGATATGTTATATGGGTGTGTGGTGAGGTATGGGGGAAGGGGATGTCTCAGAGGGCCCATGCTTACCCCTGAGGAACCAGCCACACAATGGTATAGTATAGAACAGAGTTTATTCAGGGTATGGGGAGGAGAGTTAAGAGGGTAGTAGAGGCAGAGAGAGGCAGAGAGAGACAGAGAGAGGGAGAGAGTAGAGAAGTAGAGGTCCATGAGTGTTAATGGTAATATTTAAAACAGCAGCACCCAATCTGGCTTGCTGTTAATGGACCACCATGTTCCCAACTAGACAAGGCCTGAGGCCATGAGGTATGTTCCCTCCACTGCTCGGCTCAGGCCGCCAGCTCAGGTAGGCCAGAAGCACTGGCCCTGCACTCAGGAGACACCAGTGTGGGAGATGGCTCTGCCACACTCTCTCCGCAATGCTTGGCTGAGCACAGACCATCCCGCCATCCACACAGTTCCCAGTAGAACAGAGACTTTAATGCTTAAAGACTATCCAATAGCTCTATATATTTGGTAATGCTCAATTATCAAGATGCCCACACAGTTAGAGGTGTTACCCAATACCTAACCTAGGTATTACAACTACCTTAGACTGCTAGAGACACACGTACATCCGATGCCATCTTCCCCTCTCTCTGCTCCTCCCTCTCTTAGCTCCTCCTCTTTCTTCTCCTTCCTTTCTTCACTCCTCCCAGCTTTTCCCACATTACCGAGTTTGTTGTAAAATGCCCAGCTACACATGAACACATGGAGAAACGGGGAAAGGAATGGGGAAGGGGAGAGGGAAAGGGAGAAGCAAGAGGCAAGAGAGCAGGAGATGAAGGGTACAAGAGAGAGAGGAAAGGGCAAGCAGCCCCTTTTATAGTGGGCCAGGCCTACCTGGCTATTGCCAGGTAACTATGGGGGTAGAGTTTAGACAGAATGCTAACACAATCAGTTTAAAATAAAGTAATTAAGGGGATGTGTGCAGATGTTGCCCAGCTATCAGAGTGCTCACTAGGCCCTGGGTACAATCTCAGGCATCAAATTATGTTAATGCATTCATTGATTGGTTAAAGGTTATTAATGTGAGGCGTGAAAGTGTCCAATAAGGCACTAGGAGTTTAGCATACATTTTCATAGGTTTAAAATACTTTCATTTGATTTTTTCATTTAGAATTGGAGATCATTATTTCTGCTCAAGTTTTAAGTTTTGTTCAATGCTTATTCAACTCAGAGTTTTGTTACTATGATTAAAGTTTTCATTTTGAACAAGTCAAATTCAACCACTAAGTATAGTAAAGTAATTCCCAGAGTAATCATATCTCACTACTTCTGATTTTCATTACACATAGAATAGTTTGTCTCGATTCAGTGTAAGATACAGATAATAAGTCAGTCCCAACTCCACGGAGGCCATAGATGAGCTTCTTTGTGATCAGACATAGTTGATACTGAAACAATCATACATGAAAGAAAAATCTAGCTGGTCACTTGCCAAGCAAATTTACCCACTTGGTGGTCACTGTGTCTCATTTCCATAAATCTAATATTATTCAGGCAGAAGATAGAATCTGGTTTTATCCACATTGATACAGAATTTATATTGAGAGAGGAAATTTCTTCAATTTGGCTTCATCCCATGATTACTCTAACTCATTGGCCTATAAAATACTTGGGACACCACTATGAATGGTGTACAAGTTTAACATCAAAGAAAGTATGTGCCTGTAGTCTGGCCCTATTTAGGAAGTTCAAACAATTCAATCTGTTAAAACAAACAAACAAACAGAAAAACTTGTGTATCCAAGCTGATAGAACCATGCAAGAGTGGATTACACAGAGAAGTCAGTCCTTTAAGAAGTAATAGAAAAATGTAGACTAGATGGTATAAGGAGAAAATGGTCGGAATGACAGGAAAAGCAGGAGGTCAGAGCCAAGGGTAGATCCAGGAAGAGGCAGAAACAGGGATCTATGTGACCTGTTACTACAACATGGAGGCATGCAAGCTAGTGTTGAATGTGGCCCTCAGGTGCTGTGTCTGGAGAAAGTGTGAGGACTTCAGTATTATGAAGCAGATAATTGACATTTTTACATGTAGACGTTTACAGGAATTATAAAGTCCTAAAATGAGGCAAATGTGTGGCAGGATTCTGAATGCTGTCTGCATTGTTGTACTTCCTTCTCTAGGTTAAAGGAAGTCATCCCCTAGCCTTTGTTGTGTATGGCAACAGTTATATGGTGTTGACTTTTGACTTGAATCCTTATAACATATGGTTTCAGAGGAGTTACCTACAAAGTATCTTAGGCTTCTATCAACTAGCCTGCTTACCCAGAAGCCATCAGTCAAGCTTTTGGAGGGCTCTATAAGTCCACTTTCTTTGTTCTCTTTCCTGGCTTTCATTGATGAGAAGCCTTTGCTCTGTTGGGTTAATTTGTACACTAGAAAAAGTACATATAAAGATCACATTGTCTGGTTTGTCATGGAGGAGGGAAACCCATCAGAACAAAGGTCAGCTATAAAGCCTGTCTTCTCCATCAAATCCACCAATGCAGGAGAAGTGTTGCAAAACAGAACTAACACTATGTTGCTAAGGTGCATGTGGGTGTGTTCACACTATAGATTCCAGGTTGTCATGGCAGCTCTGCCTAAGCTGAATATGAAACGGATGTCCTATATACATGCTTATTATAGTATATTCTGTCTTCTAGGCTCTTCAATGGCCAACAAGGAATTATCATTCAGAATTTTAGCACAAGATCCATCCTTACAGTGACAAACGTGACACAGGAGCACTTCGGCAACTATACTTGTGTGGCTGCCAACAAGCTGGGCACAACCAATGCGAGCCTGCCCCTCAATCGTAAGTAAAAGAGTTGGAAAGCATACTCCAAGGGCCTCCAGACTCCTCTGCATGAGCAGAAATGAAGCCCAACCATGGAGTATGCTCAGCTTATATCTCATCCTAAGGTAGAAACAGGAAAGTTTGTTCCAAAATTATCTAGATGTTTGAGAATTCTATACTACCTGTAAACCTCTACATGTAAAGATGTCACAGAGTTTAAAAGGGGTAGGGGTTACAAAAATAGATAAAATACATCTTCTGACCAAAGATAGTTAAGTGGGGTTTTATCTGAACTGGGTTTATTTAAAAAAAATTTTCTCTTAAAGCATGGAATAGCCACAACTTGCGTTTACTCTTGACTGTTCATCATTAGACATTCATCTTGGGATTCACTAGAAATTCACATGCTGTATGCAAAATGAGATAGTGAGTAAACAAGCATTGGAAACGTATTTTATCTGCATATATAGCAGATTTACAAAAAACTGTATCTTGAAATACAGTGTAGGGATTAATTGAGATAAATGCTACATTGTCTATACATCCAAATGGAATGCAATGGGTTGTCTCTTGGGTTTAAACCCAAAACAAGCAGAGCCAAGCAGTCAGGAAGAAAAGGAGGGATTTCCTTCTGATAGAATGTGGGACTCACTTGTAGAGCGATGTCTTCCTATCTAATAAGAGATGTGTGAAGACCCTATAATTATGTATATGGCCAGGAATTTGAGGGTGTCTGTGCCTGAGCAGAACACTTTTGTGCATGTTCAGCTTGAGGTCATAGATTTTAAAGGAAAGGTTGTGGGCACATCAATGATGTTCTTAGCTCAGGGTCATAGGCTTCTGTTCCAAAGATTGAAAAGGCAGATATGAACACCTCTGGGCATGCTCCATTTTCTCCAAAAACTTTTAGCAGATAAAAGGAAGGGATACTTTGAAGACATATTAGTGTATCTGCCCTCAAGGTGTCTGCCTGTCTTCAGAGCTCACTCTAATGCATCACAGGGACTGGAAATGATTAAGCAGCAGCCCTGGGAACCAGCAGAAGAGGGAAAATCCTACATTAATGCTCTTCTCAGCAACTACGATTAGTACCTTGAGGAAACTGAGTGACTTACAGATTGTTACAACCATAAAACTCCTCTAATTTTAAAACTGAGGGTTTTTCAGAACATTCAAAGATTGCAGACTGTGCTTCCTCAATTTCACAAAGTTATCTGAATGAATCTTCTCTCAAAGTTAGTATTCTTACTGTAACCTGGCACACATTCTTATGTTACTCCTTGATAACAACTTACTCCAGGAAAATGCAGATATTGTGAAGTTCATCATAAGCAGGGGCTTTTCTATTTTGTAGAAACAAAAATCGTATGAAGATTTCCTTCTCATTTAGAACACACTTTGTTGTGTTTTATAATTTGTGAGCTTTTGAATTGGAATGATTAAAAAACTTCTAATATACAATCAAATCCATAAGTTTATGTCAATGCTTTCATTGGTTTAGTTCAATATTTCCTAATATTTCTTAGCACTAATTTTGAAATGAAAACAATCACGGCCATGCAGTGGCCTTCTGTAAAATTCTTGCTAAGTTTTATTTCTCATGAGGATGCTTTCTATGGTGACTAGTAACAAGAGCCACTGAAGAGATTAGGAGCAGGTTGAATTCTAATTTAACGTAAATATTGACAGTTCTATAGAATATTATCAATATTTTAGATGGCTTAAATATCCAAAAATCTGAAAGAATAAATTAATTTAAAAGGCAAAGAAAAATTGAGGGTTAATAACATTAACATGTTATTAACTTGCAAGCAAAATTTCTAAATCTTAATTTATTTTCTAAAATGAAATAATATTTTTTTACAATTTAGGATCATATGTTATGCCTATCTATCATCTATCTATTTATCATCTATCATTTGCCTATCATCTGTCTACCATCTATCATCTGCCTATCATCTATCTATCTATCTATCATCTATCTATCTATCTATCATCTATCTATCTATCTATCTATCTATCTATCTATCATCTATCTATCCATCATTAATTTATCATCTCTCACTAACTCTTAACTGTTACCGCAGTTTTAATGGTTGGCTAACAATGACAGACTTTGTCTATAACTATGGCCCTGGATGTTTGATGGTTTGTCTGTATATGTAGGATTCTTCCCTGCAATGACTGAAGCTCTTCTGCACTAAAGTATTTCTATTCTGTACTATAATCATTGTTTGTGTTTTATCTTTTATTTCACTTTTGTGGTACTAGAGGTCAAATTCATGATTCATGCATACTAGGCAAACATTGTAATCTTGAGACAACATCTCCAACCACTGTAGTTATTTTTATACATTTTGTATTTTTCTGTGGAGTTTCAAAACTGCCTCAGTGTCTCACCAATCCCTTTAGCTGTCATGTCACCAAATGCAATGCCTACTATTTAATAGATAAATAGTGAATTTTTAATGAATAAAGAAAGTAAGCCCTGAATGAGTTAATGAATGGACTGATAAGTCAATGAAGGATGAGCTATTTTGTAGCTGTGGGCCTCCCTTATTAGCCTTGGAGATGCCAAGCAATGTCCCAGGCATTAGAAATGATATTTACTATTATTTTATTCTGGGCCAGATTTTATCCTAATTTCTTACAGGAATTTGACTATTTAATCCTCAACAACAACAACAGGGTTCTCCAATCTCCTCTTTGCAGATAAGAAAGCTCAGAAAGAGTGTGTCCGGTGGCAAAGGTCATCAGATGAAGCCAGTGGTGAAGTTGAAGCTTGAGTCCTTGCTGCTGGCTCTTGTGCTTAAGTTCTGAGCCACTCCACTTCTCTACCTAAATTTAAGATCACAAAACCACCCACAGAGTGAAAGATGGTCACTTGAAATATAGTTTAAAAATCATTTCTATTTTATAACTGCCCTCTTTATAAGTTTGTCCTTAGTCTTTAGGATGAATCCTGGGGCCATTTCAGCCTACTATTGGTTTACACGCTCTCTTTTTCCAGATCACCAAAGAAATAAAAGGCAATCTTTAAGTTTAAGGAAAGCCATAAATGAAACTATGTAAAAAGGAAGCCAGTGCATTTGGGTATGATTATGTGTGAGGGAAAAGGATGGAAGCAGAGAATATGTATGAGGGAGGGGAAGGAAGGAGAAAGTGTGTGTGTGTGTGTGTGTGTGTGTGTGTGTGTGTGGTATGTGTGTGTGTTGCATCATAAGAGAAAAACAGATCTTACTTAAATCTACATTTTACTACATTTCAGCTATGTTGCTTTATGTAAGTTACATGTGTTTCATTCAAATGCTCAGTTACTTCATCTGTAAATTGAGGGCAATCATAAATTCCCCTGCAGGAATTTAGATGATGCCTTCAATGCACCTGTTCCTTTGTCTGGAGGTACTCAGTAAATGTAGTCATTGTTACTGTAACATCACATATACCAGCTCTTTGTTCAATGCATCTGAAGGAGCACTACATCTATACTGGGGATAAATGACTTAATCTGATGACTGTCTATCTACTGCTTACCTGAGAGCTTCTTTGGTAAACAATCTACTTGTGAGAAAGGTGGAGTAAAACATGCTTGAGATAATCTCTAAATCTAATGCACAAGTTTGTTTCATGCTTCTCTTAATGCACTGACCAGGATTAGTGGATGTTAATTCCACATTAAATGCCCTGCCCTCAGCATAAGAGTTCAGACATCGGGGATCTGTAAAGTGTAAAGATGGAACAAAGATCCAGTTCTATGTGGCCCTCATATAGCTGGTTCAGTAGTGGTGTTCATTTGTCAAATATGGGTGCTAATGGTCTGCAATATTCAAAGCCATAGGCTTCATGTTGGAAAGAGCAGGATAAGTAGATCAATAATCTCCTTAAAGGAGTTCAGACAATGGAAAGAGGAGAACAAGGAGCATAAGACACTCTAGAGCCAAATAGTCAACTATGCTGCTCTGGGGACAGAGAAGGGGCTCTAGATATAGTCTCAAGTGCCTGGAAGGGACAATCCAAGAAGAGAAATTGAAATTAATATTTGAATATTAAACAACCAATATGTAGCTCAAAACATCACATGGGTCATCATTTTCTCATTCTCTGAGGAAGAATTTTTAAAAATTCACCCAACAATAATCATGAGCATAGAGTAAATGACTAAAATGACAGCATCCCAGAGCCAGGGCCCAGACAGGAGTCTGTGTTCCCAGAGCTATACTAGGGCCAGATAGAAGTCTCTGCTCCCAGAATGAGGGCCATAATTGAGTCATTCTTCAGTAATGGACGATGATTGCTGAAGAGAGAGACCTGTGATGGCTCATGTGATGGCATGTAAAAATGAACAACATGCTTGTCCTTTTCTAGGGCTACAGTAAAGGAAAAAGTGAAACTGTAAAGAAAGGCTGGACAAACTGACAAGTATCAGGACAGACTTAATATATGTTCTGACTTTAGGCCTGGAATCATTGAATGATTTTTAACAAAGAAATTGTATGAACAGATCTGGATTCTGAAAGACTTTGTTAGACTGTGTGGGTTCTAAACCCCCACACAAACTTTAAATAACATAGGCAAATAAAAATGATGCAAATCCAGTAGCTGAGGTGAGAACTGAGAGACAAGGAGGAGGTGTAAGGCGGTGGGCAAATCTGCAGAGAATAGGAAGGCGTAGGAAGCAGGATTCAGCTGACTTCTCATGGCTACTCTGAGTGACATTAACCAGAATCAGAGCATGGGCAAAGACCCAGTACTTTTAGCACCTGGAGAAAAAAAAGCACAGGAGTTCATTTTCATGCATTTTTAGTTTCAGACGATGTCCAGTAGGCAGTTGAATATAGAGTTCAGGAAGGAGATGATCCTGAAGTTTCAGGACAGAATGCAGATTCAGTGATGAGAACATGTCAGATTTCTCATAAATATAGGAATAGTGAAGTACATGAAGGATACATATCCAAGCACCATCTTCATGAAGGGCAAACAGCAGGGAGAAGCATCAGACAGAGGAGAATGGTAGGAAT